GGGCTGTCCCACGCCTCTTCAAGCTCTGAAGCCCTCACCCCTTCCTCCTGTTTTCCTTCTGCCCCACAGAGCCTCTGCCCGATGTGGTGGTGAATGGCGTGCTCGAGGGCCTCTATGGCTTTAGCACCAGCACAGCTAAAGCCCAGCCAGAGACTCCCTATCACCCTGCTCCTCCACCACTGATGCCCTGACCAGTCCAGAGGCCTTTGGGCCACCTACCAGGACAGTCACGTGCCTCAGTCCTATAAGCCCCATATAAGAGATGTAGGCTGGGTGCCCCCTGGCCTGGACCCAAGACTTACCCACCCCAGGCTCAGAACTCAGCTGGACCGGTAGCTGGGGGTGGTCGAACTCCTGCACTTAGAGCCCACGGCTGGGGCAGGGACAAGAGAGGGTAAAAAATAAATAAAGGGAGAAGTCAGTTTGGAGGTAGGCTATGAAGAGGTACAGGTGTATTTCTTCACCCACACCAGGAGAAGAGGGGGGGAGGGGGAGAGCAAAGTTTGAGGCACAGTAGCCGGCAGAGTTTAGAAAGAGCAAAAGCCCCTGCTTGATGTTTGTTTTGTAGGTAGCATCTGGGGGAAGGGTTCAGACCGGAGCCCGGGGAGGGGACAGGCACCCACTGCCACAAGTCCCAGACACAATGGGACACAGACTGAAGGGGAAGTGCTGCAGGCCCAAGAACCTAGCCCACACACAGGTTATAAAAAACCCACCATTTCTTTTTATTGGTCAGTGTTGGTAGGAGTTTGTTACAAAACCGGGCCCTGTGGAATGTGAGGGGAGGGGTCCGCTCCGTCAGGTGCCAGCACTAGGGCCAGTGGAGCACGGAGCCCTGTGGCGGGCTGTCTTCACCCCCGGGGAGGGCAACAGGGCCGCACAGACGGTTGCTCAAAGGGAAGAGGTCCCTGGGCCCTACTCCTTGGCGATGGCAAAGGGCTTCTCCACCTCGATCTTGCCGCAGTCTGCGATCGTCACATCCTTCAGGGGCTTGTCCCGACCATCTGTCTTGGTGCTCTCCACCTTCCGCACTACCTCCTGGGAAGGAAAGGCAGAAACAGGAAGGCAGAGTGGGTCAGGAGGTCGGCCACTCAAGGGAGACAGGCCTCAGTGTATAGCTGCGGAGGGCTGAGATGCCCATGTGACAAGCAGCATACAAGCCGTGAGGCACCAAAATCCTAACGGAATCATGGCCGGGGGCCAGCCCAGGGCAGGGAGAACCCAGCTTTGACAACAAGAGGAGGATGCAGCAGTTTTGATCCTTTGAAGTATGACTCAGGTTGGGCTAAGAGTGAGGAGGAGGAAGAGGGTGGCTGGGGAAGGGGTACCAGGTGGCTTCCCAGGGCCATCGTGTTCAGCTGTGAACTCAGAGTGGTGGCAGCACAGCACTGTGAGCGAGTGATGGACGGGGGTTCCTGCAGCTGTGCAGCCTCAACAAGGCCTGGCTGGCCTCTGCCTGGGACCTGGAAGGCTTTACAACTTGTAGAGAGGGAGGCTATTTATGCTTGATTCCCCCAGAGATGAACATGGGTCTGAATCTGTGGGTTCCCTTTTGGGAAAAGGATAAAATATATGAAGCCCCCACCCCAGGGTCTGTGTCAGATCCTTGGCAAGGGGTGCGCAGGGTTAGCCCCCATTGCTAAACTCACCATGCCCTCTAGAACTTTGCCGAACACTACATGCTTGCCATCTAGCCAGGCTGTCTTGACCGTTGTGATAAAGAATTGGGAGCCGTTGGTGTCTTTGCCTGCATTGGCCATGCTCACCCAGCCGGGCCCATAGTGTTTCAGCTTGAAGTTCTCATCAGGGAAGCGTTCACCATAGATGCTCTTACCTGGGGAGAAAGAGTGGGTCAGGGGAGCTGGGTTGGCCCAAACCAAGGAGATCTTTGGGGTGAGGATTCCAGGGGCTCAACCTGTCCTCTGTGCCAGGCCAGGCTCAAGTGGAGTACAAGGACATAAAAGCTGTCCCCTTCTACCCTCTGGCCTTGGAGCCAAACCATGCTGACCAAGTGGGGCAGCATGAGGCCAGGCTGATCTAATGTACAGCTCACAGGATGGATTACTTTGAGAATATAGTTTTATGGCTTTTAAATAAGGCACATATTAACAACTACCCTTGGCTATGGCCTGAGAGGCCTGCCACGGGGGAAGTCTGGTGGAGAAGTGCTGTGCAGGATGCAGGCGGCAGGGGAGGTAAGAACCCTCCAGAAGAGGAGGACTGCTGTGGCTGACCAGCTCTTCTCCCTAAGAGCACAAAAGACACCGAGGCAGCTGCAAAGCGGAAAGCAGAGAGACGAGTGGGGAGGGGCAGGGAGAAGCAAAAGAGACGGGCTGCCATTTGGGTTCTGCAAAGTCAAGAGCCTCTTATCAACGAATGAACAGAAAATAAAAGGTGGCTGTGACTGTGTATGTGTCCATCCATGAGGGCTCTGGGGCCGGGGTGCATGACGCAGGGGGCCGAGAGCAGATCGCTACACCACTTCAGAGATCCTAACCCAAGTTCCTAGAGCTGTTCCAGGAGAAACAGTGCACCCTTCCTTTTCCCTGCCCCCTCTGGGAGATTCACACTGTGCACTAGTGAACTAGAGGCCCCAAGAAACCCAGCAATAAAGAAGAAATTTTCACTTTGTCTTACCCATCACCTTTCAAACTTACTTGCATATGAAACCTTTTTTTCCTCCTCAATACATCTGTTTTCATCCTGTGGTTCCACAGAATGGAACCAGGTTGGGATATCGTCCTAGACTGATGCTAATCAGGGAGAAATTTCTGATTGTGTAGCAAGTGGGAAGACGGAAAACCAAGAATTACTAGACTCTGGCTGGTGGGGGCCGGGGCATCTCAGCCTGTGCTCCACATCTCCCTTCCACCCCAGGGAGAAACCGGACTCGCCCACCGTTGTGCAGTGACTCCTGGCTGGGGTGCTGGCTAAAAGCCTCCCCTACGTGAGACTCCTCTTTGTGAATCTCAACCAACTGCACAATTTCAATAATTGCTGCTATCCAGAAAAATCCCCACATCAACATCCTTAGCTCCACTTTCCCAACATACAAGGAGTTCCAAATTTGAACGTACAGTTCATTTTAGACTCAACATACTTCATCATCTTTCCTTCCAGACTTGTTATTATTTTGACAGCTTTTCCTCTGCACATTGTTGATGTCCCCACCACCACCATTTACTCATCCTTTCTTTCCATTCCTGCTACCCCAACTGCAATAATGGCTAACACTTAAGAGCGGTAACGGCGTCCGCCAGAGAACTGCTGCAAGCAGTTATGCTGCTGCACACATAAAAACCCACCCTGTGAGGCAAAGCTAATGATCCTATTTCAAAGATAAAGAAACTGAGGTACAGAGAGGTTAAAGGTCCCCCAGCTGGGAAACAGCAGAGCTGGAATTCAAACCAAGGTGGTCTAGCTCTCAAATCTCTGCCTTTACCCACTTGGCCATCCTCTCCTGGGCTCAGGCCCACATGGCCCTACCCAGGGACAGCTGCACCAATCCCTCACTCTTCCGCTTACTCCTGCCTCCACATCCTGAATCCTGCTGCCACATTATTTTCCCTTAAACTCCTCTGCGGTTGAGTCTTCCTCCATTCAAGTCTTCAGCAGATCCTCACTCCATGAAGGACAAAGCCCAGGTTCCCGGGTCTGGCCACAGCCCACCACTCTGGGCTGATGTGTGCTCCATTTCCATTCCCCCGACCCCGCCTTTGGCCAAGCTCCTGCTGCAGACCAGAGCTGGGCTCACACCTTAACCCTGCCTCTTCTCCTCCCATTCAAATTCTCCCCAACCAGGACCCCACTCAAACCTTCCCTCACGTTCACAAGGCCATTTTCTGACCACTTTGGCCCGAAGTGGATCCTCTGATTGTCAGCACTTGACAATGGCTGACCTCACTCACCATGTGTGGGCACTTAACACTCAAGCTGTCACCTTCCCCTCATGGCACTCACAACTCTTACCACTCTCACTTTACAGAAGAGGAAACCATAGCTCAGAAGACTCACTTGCCTGAGGTCACAAAGCAGGAAGGTGGCTGACACTGGACCACACCCAACTGTGTCTGACTCCATGCATACAGTGCCTTGTGTTATGTCTGCTTTGTCCTTCTCGTCCACTGATGCCGCTAGCTATGATTTAAATCTTGTACTGTTATGTAGCTTTCAGAGTGTTTTCTCCTAGTTCTTCCCATCTAGATGATAAACAACTTGAGGACAGAGCCTGAGTCCTAAAAGCTGTATTACGGCCCAAGTGTGAGTCTTCAGGGATTGCAAGTGAAAGGGAGTTGCCGTCCCACTGATTTCTGTGTCCACAGCACCCACCACAGAGCCTGACCAATAAATATTCATCGATGGGGTGAGCTGCAGCTGCGGTCTGCAGGAACAGCAGGCTGTGCACCCAAGTATGGTGAGACCTGTGGGTTAGTCCAGGGTATCTGTCTGTCTATCCTATGTGTACAACTAATGCCGAGGCGAGACACAGCTCTTGTCAAGTGGTCTCTGGTGGGGGACTGCTAAGGAAAGTACCTTCTCCAACCCTCGCTGGGCTTCCAAGGTCACCCCATACAGGCTTTGCATGCCTGACTCACCTGTGTGTTTCACTTCGCCCCCTTCCCTCCAGGAAGTAGTGCAAGAAAAGTCACCAAGGTTGTAGGCCTGGATAAGCAGGTCTGTCGGCTGGGCGATCTAAGATCCTCTTATGTCCACCTAAACCCCCCTTACTCCCTCTCCTTTGTCCCAGGTTCCCTGTACAAAGAAGGGTGCAGCTGGTCTCAATGCAGGTGACGGGGCTGCCTCTGGAGCTAAGGAAGAAAGAGGCCTTAGCTACCCGACACAGCCAGGCCCTCCCGCGTTGGAGGCTGCACTGACAGACCCCTCTGCCCAGAGGACCTGAGGTTACCTCCAGTGCCATCTCCTCGGGTGAAGTCTCCACCCTGGATCATGAAGTCCTTGATCACACGATGGAATCTGCTGTCTTTGTAGCCAAATCCTTTCTAGAAAAAAGGATGAGAAGGTGAGGAGGTGGCATGAAGCACCAAGCAGACATTAAATAGGCCCTGCAGGAAGCCAGCCCACAACCCATCCTGCTCACAGAAGAGACACCACTGCTGGCCAGATTCATCGTTCAACATGCTACTGAGTGAGCAGCTACAGTAGGCCAGGCCTGGAGGACACAGACCCAGGAAGGGCTAAGAGTGCACATTCCCCTGCCTTTATACAATTCCCAGACTTTATACAATTTTACTTCACATAATGCCTCCACTTTTTCCCTCTCATTTTTTTCTAATCATAGGAACAGATGCAAGAAAACTGACCAAAAAAAAAGTTACCTGCTGATCCAATGGAAAGTTGGAATACAAACTTTCTTAAACGAGGTCCTCTTATTTC